GCAAAACTTCCAACTCATTCCAATTTACTTTATAATTGCATTTTAGAATCTGTAGAAATCTACAAATATCATAAAATACAAATCTAGTATCATAAAGTATCATATCTCAGGGTTAAGCACACACATATGTTGCAATTGGATCAATAAACAACTGTTTTTCTTCATTCCAGATCCTAAAAACATCTTAAGAAGTCATTAGTGAGATGATTGGATTGGAGTAAATGATGATGCTTCTTCAAAAACCAGAAAATCTTCATTCTAAATACATGGATGCCCTTGAAAATAGTCTGTAGCACAATTTGTTACAAATGTCCAAACAAATTTGAGTTCTGAAATAAAACCTAAGGGTGATACCATGGTCTAATGCTGACCAACAGTTGTAGATCATCATCAAACTGGAGATATATTTATATAAATTGGTAAAAAGAAATGATCCAGACAACTTTCAAAAAGAACAATTATCAATCTACACTTGCCGATTCTTTGTAGCACAATTTGCTACAAATCTCCAAAAACAATTAAATTCCGACATAAATCCACATCCAATACCAGAGTCTAGAGCTGACTAGACTACTAATAGTTGTAGATCATCATCAAACTGGAGATATATCTATATAAATTGGTGAAGAGAAACGATCAAGACAACTTACAATAAGAACAATTATCAACCTTGTACAAATTCTAAAAATATCAATAAGATTGACCACCAGCAAAACATCAACCATGTTCAACTTTGTTGAAAAGGGACTATAAAACTTGTTGGTACAAGTTAAAAAGTCAGCATGAACATACCTAAAAATTTCACCAAAACAACCTGGAATTGGTAATAGATATCTAAAAAAATCCATTACCTAGATTATCACAATAACAATAACTAGATCATCATCATGGTTCAGTAACCACAGAATGTATAAAAACGTTCGACACAAAATCCTGGCCAAAACACACAACCTTCTATAAAATCCAACTTCATCTACTGTCTATTTTCAAAGATGGATCTTTAAACAAAACTATGTATCTACAACTATTCCCACCATGACAACTCAACCAGAAGCTCTCCTTCAGCAATTTGAACCAACCAGCACAATTTTCTTAGAAGTTTCTAATGACATCCTGGTCTACAGCGAGCAAATCATCGACACCAATTTTGAAATGCTGGAAAAAAGTTACAAATACATAAATGATACCGTGACAGAAGCATCATCCATTGTAGTTTTGGGAAGTGGTAGAAGTTTTTTGGATACTAAACGATTTTTAGATGAACAACATACTTGGCAGGAGTTGGTACTGATTGTTCTGCTTTGTTTTATAATTGTCATCACTGTTATTGGGAATACTTTGATAATAACATCAGGTAAGTTGATTGATTGGCGTGGACAATTGTTGGTACTTAAATTTTGTTGCATTCTCAGTGTTGACCACAAGAAGACTACGCACTGTGACCAATTGTTTTGTGACAAGTTTGGCAGTTGCTGATTGGCTTGTTGGTATATTTGTGATGCCTCCAGCTGTTGCTCTACACTGGGTTGGTAAGTACTCCTCTATTTATCACCAGTCTGTGTATCAATCAAAAAATGTACCTAATTATGTATCTTTTATCCAGGAACTTGGCAACTAGGATGGGTCCTGTGTGACGTTTGGATATCCTTAGACGTCCTGCTATGCACAGCATCGATTCTAAGCCTTTGTGCAATTTCTATAGATAGATATTTAGCAGTAACACAACCTTTAAACTACTCGCGTAGAAGGCGGTCGAAAAGATTGGCTCTGATGATGATCTTAGCAGTTTGGATCTTGGCTTTGGCTATTACTTGTCCACCTATCCTTGGATGGTAAATGATAAATGACACAGAATAATTAACTGAACTAGGACTTGATGGTTTTTCACTGTGTACAATTTTTTCCTAGGTACGAGCCTGGAAGACACCAAGCCTTGGACTGCCGCTACAATCGCAACAGAGGCTACGTCATATTTTCTGCAATGGGTTCCTTTTTCCTGCCACTTTTAGTAGTCCTTTATGTATATGCCAGGATATCTTGTGTGGTTGCCAGAAGACATGACAGACTTGGAGAAATGAGAGACAGCAAAAACCAGGTACACACCATAAAACCAATAACACCAATTGGTGTTTATGAATCTATTTTTTATTTAGAGGCACAAAAGTTCCAACAAATCTGAACGGGAGATAGAAGAATCAGAAGCTGATGGAGGAACCTGCACACCTATGACCAGAAAATTTAAAAGTTTAGCAAATCTAACGACAACTAACGACAAAAATAATCAGTTTAACTTAAAACCTACTTGTGAATGTCAACTGATGAGCAATAAGTTGATGCAGATGGATAACGTACAGGTAAATATAATAGACATGTGAATGTTAATGATGGATGTAGGATTGCATATCTTTTTTCCAGATGGTACCATTATCTCTGCACCAATCGACTTCTCCTCCCTTACACAACACAACAAAGCCCTTAAGGCAAAGAATTTCAAGTTTGAAAAGAGAAACTAAAACAGCACAAACTCTGTCGATTGTGGTCGGCGGTTTTGTAGCCTGTTGGTTGCCTTTTTTCGTCTATTATCTGCTGACACCATTTCTACCACAGGACAAAGTCAGTGACATGCTGATGTCATTCCTGACTTGGCTGGGATGGATCAATTCGGCGATCAATCCTTTTATTTATGCTTTTTATAATGTTGATTTTAGGGCTGCCTTTTGGAGGCTGACGTTGGCCAGATGTTTTAAGAAGAGATAGCCTTAGGGAAAGGATAGCTTTAGGCAAAATATAGCAGGTAAAAGATAGCCTTAGGTGAAGAATAATTTTGCTGCTAGTTTGCCTAATTTGGCTGGAATGGATCAATGCTTTTATTTATGCTTATTATAATGTTGGTTCTAGGGTTGCTTTTGGAAGCTATTGAAAGAAAACTAGATAGTTTATGGTGAAAGATAGAGGAGATAAAATAGAACTTGTTTCAATTTTATGAAAATTGTACTAGTTTTAGTATTTGTTTTGTGGGTAAGTATCCTAAAGCTATTTTTGAAGCTGTTGTTGGCCCAAAGCTTCAAAATTTAATACCTTTTGGATACCAAATGAAAATTTGTAATTTAAATCTAGTTTTCTCGTTCTTGGTTTAAAAAAAAACCCACATTTGACGAAAGATATAACAATATTATTTATTATTATATTGTATTATTCACGAATAAAGACAAAATAGAAAAGTAAAACTTCTTAGGATTTTTTAACAGAGTTTTTGCCGTTGTATTTTTATGAAATATTCAAAGATATCTATCCACGGATTTTTAAACAAAGTTTTTGCCGTTTTATTTGAAAACTTCAAATTATAATAAATCTGCCTAAATTAAGGGTTAGTGATAATATTAATAACTATAATAATAAGTTTTAGACTTAAAATAAATGTATTATTATACTAGTCATTATTTTATAAGCTTTTAGATATAAAAATAAATATATTTAGAACTTAGATTATCTGTAAAAATTATCTAGTCGAAACATATACGTATTTTTATTTAATTAATAGTCATATGAAAATAAAGTAAAATTATCGAGAACTTGTATGCATTTATTTAATATTTATATTGTAAGTTTTAAACAGGTCAATATAATAAGTAAAATTATGGAAAAACCTTAAATGTGGGGTCAGTTATTATAATCGTCCGGAAATCAAAATTAATTTTTTTGCATATCTCTACGTTTCTGGCTTCTGAACATTTTGGCATACCTCAGAAAAAATGGATGTATGTATGTGTGTATGCAATTCTCTGTCGACGTTTTCGGGAGCACGCTCAACCGATTTGAATGATTCGAAAAGCATTCGATTCCTACTTATAGGGATTAGTGCTGATTAGTATTTGAGAAAATCGGTCCAGACGTTTTGGAGATACGAAGAAATTGAGTTTTTGAGAGTACGGAGCATCCGATTTTAATGATTCAAAAAACATTTGATTCGTAAATTAAGAGATGACGTCGTGATTGTTTTTTACAAAGGCAGGTCTAGTTGTTTCGGAGATACAGAGCAAAGAGTGTAGAAAATGGAAACTAAGTTTTTGAGAGAACAGTGTATCCGATTTAAATGATTAAAAAAACATTTGATTCGTAATTAAGAGAAGACGTGGTGATTCGTTTTTAACAAAGACAGGTCCAGACGTTTCGGAGAAACAAAGTGAAGAGTGCAGAAAATGGAAACTAAGTTTTTGAGAGTACGGAGCATCCGATTCGAATGATTCAAAAAACTTTTAATTCGTAATTAAGAGAAAACGTGGTGATTAGGTTTTGACAAAGACAGGTGCAGCCGTTTTAGAGATAATGAGGTAAAAATGGCAGTTTTCGAAAAAACAAAGCTTCCGATTTGAATGATTCAAAAAAACATTGAATTTGTAATTAAGAGAAGACGTGGTGATTAGATTTTGTCATAGGCAGATCTAGCCGTTTCGAAGATACGGAGATAAATATGCAAAAAATTGCTGTTTTTGAGAGAACAAAGCATCCGATTTGAATGATTCAAAAGCAATTAGCTTGTGAAGATACGATTAGATCGTAAATTTTACAAAATTAAATAATTTACAATAATGTCTAATATTACAAAGCCCCACAAAGATATTTGAAATAGTTCAAAAGTACATTTATTTATATTGTTATATATTATTAATATTTAGCTCATAAATCATAAAGCATTCGATTAGTATGATTGTCGTAAACAAATTTATGCTGAAATATATAATCTATAATAATTTTAAACTATAATCTGAAATACTATTAAATCCATATAATACTAATTTCAAAATTCAAATTTACCGCGTTTTTATCTGCCATTTTGATTCCATTAGTTCCCTCAAATCATTGCAGATAGCACTGTCATCGCTTTCAAATAAAAACAGTGATGTGTCAAAATAATAAGATAAATATTTATTTAAATATGAAATAGAATAAATGTTGTTTAATACTAATCATAAATATATATAAATTTTTAAATAATTAAAATGGATACGAATAAAGATAATACAATACTTATTCAACGTGTCAATAAAATTTTGGAGACAAGATTGGACAATGATGAGGTTAGAATGTTGTACAAGTTAATTAATTGAATATTTATATATATATTTATTAATTAAACAACAAATAGATCCTAATTATTCTTATAAAATAAATTTTAAGCTTAATTTGTCGCTCTCCTAACACCTATTTTTAATATCTTTTTTAACCTCACTTTTATCTAGCTGTCGAGCAATCCTAAATAACTATATATATTTATGAATTGAAGCAGCAATAGTTCTTAATTATTTCATATACTAACTCAATAGTTTTACAAAAATAATTCCTAATAATTAGAACCATAATAAATATTTTTTTAATCGCAGGAGACTTTGGAAGCTCTCAAAAATCTATCGACATTCTATACAGAGAACACTGCTGATAATAGAAGGAACTTGAAGTATCAAATTCAAGAACGTACTTTGGCTATGAATGATGTAATAATATAAATGATATATATATATATATATATATATATATATATATATATAATATAATTATTTAAGGCAGTTTGGTGTATATATATATTCATTCATATGAATTCCACCCTTTGTAGGATTTTTTACAAGCATTCCGAGAAGTTAAACTAGCTCTAGACTCTGTACTGGAAGACGTCAATAAAATAGACAACTCTGCACAAATTATGCAAGATCGATTAAATCAGACAAAAAGGCAGACCCATCAACTTATTGAGCAAACTAATAGTCTACAAGATGAATGGTAATGATAAAGGTAACAGATATAATTTATATTTATATCTGTATATATTTTATATTTATGTTTCTAGTAAGAATCTAGAAGCCCAAAGATGTGTAGCAGAAGCCTTTGTAAAACAATTCCAATTATCCCAAGAAGAACTCGATAGAATCTATGGTTCTGGCAAAAATGAGATGCCAATCGATGATAACTTCTTCAAAATCTTAGACAGGATAAAACAAATTCGAAACGAATGCAGAAGCCTCTCACAGTTTGGATTTAAAGTCATTTCTGATATTATTGACCAGATGACTATACATGAGGTAAGAGAAATTATCAGCCTTTTTATTTTCTCAGTAAACTGTTTTATTGTGATCTGTCTCTAATAGATTAAGAAATCTAATACTTTTGTGGTTTTAGGAAGCTGCCTTAGAGAGATTACACCGGTGGACACAATCCCATTGCAGGAATGAAAGTGATAATCCACAAATTTCTCAATTATCGAAGAGCTATGAATAAGTTTGCAAGATCGACCAGTATTATTCAAGTGAGGATAAGGATAATTATATACTACATTTTCGGACAACTGACAATATTTATCAGACAGCTTGTAGCATTTTCTATCACTATACAACAGTTTACAGCCTCCCCAGACAAATTACAACATTATCTGAAAGCTTGCAATATTTTCTCACAACATTTCCAGATAGGTTACAACATTTCTAAACAGTTTGCACCATTATAAGCTAGTTTACAACATTGTCAAACAGTTTGCAATTTTTTTGATAGAATACAACATTATCAGACAGCTTGCAGCATTTTCAAACAACTTACAACATTTATAGACAGCTTATAGCATTATCAGACAATTTCTTATAGCACTTGCAGACAATAAACAATATTTTTAGACAGTTTACAACGTTTGT